AGCTCCCTCTGTCACCCACACTGAAGTCCTTCCCTATATCCATCTGAAACCGCCCTGCCACCAGCCCCAGCAAGCAACCCCCATTCTAGTGTCGCAAGACTGGATGAATAACTCTCACCTTATCCACTGCCTTCATTTCATAAGCCATCTCCTCTCTAATGCGAGCAATCCTGGCTTTCCAGTCTTTCCTCATAAGGAAGCTGATCCCCTTGGCCCGTTTGGCTGCCCATCTCTAAACTGCTGTTTCTAAACTTCAGATGCAGAGACCAGAACCACGCACGCTACCCTAGATGTGGTGCACCAAGCTGGAGCAGCAAAACGGTGCCCTCTGTCTTCTTCTCAGTAGCCTCCCTGAGAACAGTCACCACTTTCCTGGCTTTCTGGCTGCCACGGCACACTGAGCCGAGGTTCTCAGGGAATGGTCAATGGTGACTCCAAGAGCTTTTTCTTGAGTGGTGGCTGCCAGTTGTGAGTAAACATGGTTTAGATTATTCTACCCAAGACATCATCTCACCTTTGTGTATGCCGAAGCTCATGTGCCAGCTTTCTGCCCCCTTCCTTTTTTTGACAATTTATTTCTGCCCTCTTTTTAATCTTTCAACTCAACTGTTTCTGCATGTAAGAAATCTCTTTTATGCTATAAGCACCCGATCTCTTCAAAGCCTCTACTAGGGTACTTTTTTTTTTTTTCTTCCTGAAAATCCAAGTAGACTGTATAAATCACATCACCTGCATCTACAATCCCACTCAGTAAACTTTAGTAAAAGCTGACGAGCCTTAGATGTAGCAAACCTCTAAAAAGGTATCCAAACTCAGGCAGAACCACTCCCTAACATACTAACACACAGCAAGGAGACAGCTTTTGTGCTTCTCTGCACAAAAGACGTCGAGGTGAAGAAAGACAAGCATTCTACACCATCTATGGGAAACCCATACACCAGAAGCCTTCCCTGAAACGTGCTGCTGCCCTTTTTCTGTCACCATCCATTATGCTGATCTGACACCATAAGTCTTGGGCATGCTGGAGAATATGACCCCATCAATGAACACGAAAAGATTTATTCCTTTAAGTTTGTTATAAAATTCAGCTGAGGTAGCTGCATTATGCAGATGCGAGAAATTTGCTGAGTGACAAAACTGGTGTTTAAGCAGCTCTGTTCCACTTAGTCAATTGAAAGTTTATCGATAGAGTAAAAGAAAAAAATGTCACTTGGAAAAGCGGTGTTGACACATCAACTAAAGCTAGAATCTAAGTTCTGTAAGTATAGGTATGGCTTCAGGGAGGTACTGCGTGAGATAAAACTTTTTTCCACATATTTGGTAAGTATCGTCTTTAAATAGTAAAACAAACCACAACAAATGTGAACATTTCAGTATTTGTGCTCTTGACTTAGTGATGGCGGAATCCCAGTAAACACCAATGATTGAAATTTGGTGGAACAGGCCCATGCATCCAAGACAGGTCTGTCAGCCTGTCATCTACACTAAAAGTGTGCTATGAATGGCCCCTACAGAAAGCTGAACGCATCAGGGATCATGTATATAAACCAATGCCCTCTGAAATATTTTATGTGCCTATTAACTGACCCATCTGGAAGTGGAGGATCCACAACTGAGATCATGCGGGAGGCAACCAACTGACAGACTGATCAAAAGAAAAGAGAAACAGCCCTCAAAATTCCAGCATACCCAAATCCCGAGAAGAGCCACTAGCAGTTCACCCCTTGGATGACCAGGTATCTCAGGTCCTGGGCTGCAGACGAGGACTTCGAGGCCACATGTACTCAGAAATTAACTGCACAAGAATACGAGGTGGGATAATACAGTCAACTTAAGGCACCACTTGGAATCCTTTGCTCTTGCTGATGAGGCAACTCTAAATGAAGGATCCCAAAACCTGCTGAGAGGAAACCTATCACTGAGTGCAGATCAGAACTGATTTTTGTAGTCCCCTCTTGCAGAGGCAAACTAACATTCCTCTGGTAGAAGACAGCAGATGCACACACTACACTTCAGCCCTTGACTCATCTCAGCTTACTCTCCAATACCTTCCTTCAACTGAAAAAGAGAGCAATGAGCCAGTGTCATTTTCTGATTGTCACCAATCCCATTATTCAGACTTCAAACGTTACTACAAATATTTTTCTTCTAAAACACACATTTAACAAGTTCTTGTTAATAATCTATTTTACAAACAAACAAAAAAGAACAACAGATCTAAAGTCCACAGATAACACTAAGCTTAGTCCCCTGCTGCAGCAAGCAGAAGCACAACTTGTACAAACCAGTCACACTCCATCTAAAAAATGTTGGGCTTTTGCTCCTCCTCGACCTTTTGGAAGGCTGCTCCTGAACATCAGTGCTCTCTGATGGTTAGAAATTTTCACATATTATCAGTCTTAAAATCTACGTTAAATTATTCATGTATCAACATCATTCTTTAGCTCAATTTATTCCCTTCACGGCATTTACCTTGATGGTTCAATAGAAAGCAAAAAAGACCTTCATTCTGCAAAACTAAAAAAGCCAAACGCTTCTTTCAACAGACTCTTAATTTCCTTCCCTACCTGTCCTAGGCACATCGTCCTGCATTTGTTCCACTTTATCTTTTTACCTGGGAATGATTAACATTATACCAAGTATTCTAGAGTTTCATTCATGGATAACAGTAACTTCTTTTTCTGGATCATCATACTTTTATCAAAGACAGTTCTGAGGACAGGTTAAAGAAAAGCTCTTCCGGTAGAAATATGTATTGCCGTTTAGTTTCATTTCATTGTTTTCTGCTAAAAAGCCTGTTCCAGAGCAGCACGCCACAGGGGCTGCGCACTTTCGGACGCCGCATGAGGACGGCAGCCGCCCTCCTGCCTCTGCCCCCCGCCCGGTGACAGAGGCTGGCAGCGCACTCGCTGCCCTCCCGTCAGGCGCCTCCCCACCAAAACGGCACGGGCTCCGCTCCACCTCACCAGGCCTCGGCCCGGGCCCCACGCCGCTCTGGT